GGGACCAAAAAGGGGTTTTAACCTTTTATTTAATATCAATTTTAATAATTAATAACTAAATTTTGCATCATAATTGCATTTGTGACGAATGTTTTTTTGTGACGAATAAAATTGTTATAAATAACTTGTTAACAATGTCAATTTTTTTAATCATTATAAAATTATTTTCTATGACAGGTGCTTAATTTGTCATTAAGAGCATTAGTGACAAGGGTTTTACTAACGGTTTAAATTTTATGACTAATAATAATTTGTGACGAAAAATAAAGATTTAATTATCAATAATTTAATCACTAAATGTGGATTTTCTTGTAGTAATAAATGGCATTTCTTCATCTTTTTCTTTCCCCCTCATCGTCGGCATCATCTTCACCATCCTCTTCTCAATGGATTCCTCGCGGGGAACCTAGATAATCCTCTTCTCAATGAGTTCCTGCACGGAACTCAGATTTTGGGTTCCGACCTTTTTTTTTTTAATGTATTTATCTTAGTTTCCTATTTTATGCAAAGCAATTTGGAATAATTTTTTTGTTAGAAAGGTGAGTTTTTTTGCTTGGAGATTGTTTCTGAACAGGTTGCCAATTTGAGTTTTTTTCATTTTTTGTGGGAAAAGGGTAGAAGATGCTTATCATGTTTTTGTGCAGTATTCATTTACTTATTGTCAAGCCCCAAAACCCAAATCCGAGGCGTAACAAATGCCGTACACTTGTGAAAGGGTCCCACAAATGCACAAGGCTCGGAACTTATTCAATTCACATCTGACAATCGAATAACTTAAATCAGATATTTCAAAATAATTCTATGTCCAACACTTAAGCTCAAAATCTCAAGGTCAAAAATCTCTTATAAACTAACAATCCATTAAATGAATTTATAAAATCTCCAATTAAAATCTTGCTTACACGATCATGATCTATATCTAAAATCCATATTCAATTTACAAAATGGCTAGCCTTCTAACTCGTCACTCCCCTTGTTTTTCCCCGTCCTTGACTTCGCTTCCTGAAATGGTGGACAAGGAAAACTAGGTGAGATAAAATATCTCAGTAAGTAAATATATGGATAGCCCGTGACTAAAATTTTAGCATGCCTGATAAACAGTTTAACATAACAAAACGTTAAATGATAAACCGTTAATACAAAATAAGATTCAGTTCAATAACGAAGTGTTCAACGACAAACCATTCATGCAGAATCAAATTCAATAGTAGTCTCATCTATAAGTCATGGCCAGCGTTTAACACCCACTGGCAGGCGTCAAAAATTACCAATGTGTTCGCCCATTGGCAGGCGTCAGAATGAACCGGTCATATCAGTAAACATATCGACATGTGCTAGCGTTACTCCCACTAGCGGGGGTCAGAAATCATGACTATATTAGAGACAAAACCATGCAGAATTTACAGAAAATTCTGAAATTCACAATCAATTTCAAATTCCATAAATAAATCGAAAAATTTCCATGTGAGCATGGATTTAACAGAAAATCATAATTTACGAAAAATTCTTAAATCATCAGAGCAGTTCAGTAAGTTCCAAGTGGCATGCTCTACTCAATGAAAACGAAAATAATTCCATTTCAAATCAATCATGCTCAATGCTAATAAAATCAATTTAAACCAATAAAATCAATTTAAACCTTGCAACCATCTCAAAAACAATTTAAAACATGTTTTAAAATCAAAATCAAAAGGCGTTACCATAATTTACTTACCTCAAATCCGGAACTCAAGCCAAGTACTCGGGTGACAGAACACTCAAAAACCTAATCAAAATACCCCAGAATTAATTACCGTACCACGGATTCAAAAGCAAAATCACCATGACTACCCCTAATCACGATACTATTCCTATCAATCTCCACATGATTAGATATCTCCAAATTTATTCTTATATTACGAACAAATCATTTAATCCCCGTCAAGTGTTGGTCATCAGTGCGTAAACAGTGCCCATAAACAGTAATTACGTCATGAACAGTAACTGCAACTTCAAAAAATTGGCAAAACCATAGCTAATCTCACGGGATTTTTCTCTAGACAAATTCACAACAATTACTCAAGCTAATTTCCACTTAATTTAAACAAAACCCACTTAAAGCTACCGAAATTCCCCCATTTTTCCAGCAAAATTCGGACAACACAGAGCAGCCACAACAAGGACCAAATTTAGCAAAGGCAACAACCAATTGGATAAAATTCGGACTTAAGGGAGGTTGTCAACTTACCCACAATTTTCCAGCAAGCAAAACCGGACCTGGTGGAGGGAAGAAGCCGGCAGCAGTGCAGGGGAAAATCAGGAAATCTACCGAAAAAATGGGAGAACCAAGAGGATTTAGAGTAAACCCAAGCCACTTAAAGCTAGAAAAGGGAGATTCATGGCTGCTCTTATCGAAAAATCAGGGAATTTCTCACCCACAAGCAAGAGCAGCTGGCGGAAGGACAGAGCAGAGCAGGGCAAATCCAAAAATTCTGCAGAGGGGAAAGATTTCAAGCTCCTAAATCTTGTTCTTGAACAAGAAAAGAAAGGCAAAAACCAAGCTTCTTACCGGTTTCCTCAAGGGGAGGTGCGTTGGGGGCCTGGGTTCCCTTGTTCGGTTGCAGGGGGACGGGAAAGAAGAAGAGCAGAATCGGGCTGAAGAAGGAAGAAAGAAGGAAAAAAATAGCTGATCCTTATCCAAAGTTTCCCTCTTTAAGTCCCTCAAGTTTGAAAATTTTGGCTATTAATCCCAAAACAATATTTTTCCACAATTTAGTCCTTAACTTAATACTAAAATATCATAAAATTTTGGGGTATTATACTTATAATGGTGTGGATAAAAATATTAGCTTGGTAGGCATTCATATGAAACTAGGTTCCACGAAGAACTCAGAACCTGGGTTCCACGAGAAACCTAGGAGGATGAGGACGAGGATGGTGAAGATGATGCTGGGAAAGAAGAAAATGAAAAAATTAAAATTAATTATGATTTAATTATAACACATTATAAAAAAAAAAAGTCCAACATTGGATTAATAAATGTGACATAAAGTCCTGGGTTTCTAGTTCCATGAGAAACCCAGGAGGATGAAGAGGAAGATGGTAAAGATGATGCGGGAAAGAAGAAAATGAAGAAATTAAAATTAATTATGATTTAATTATGCCACATCATCAAAAAAAAAAAGTCCACATTGGATTAATAAGATGACATAACGTTCATGTTACTATTTGATGCCACGTATTACAATTTTTAATGGTTATTAACGGTGCCATGACGATGGGTTAAAATATTGAGTTTTTCACCGGTTTTGAAAAGTTAAGGGTGTGAATAGAGAGGAAAAATTTTGAAAGGTGTTGATCACGAAAAAGAATTAAATGGAGGATGCAAATAGGGGCTTTCGCCAACTAAATATGCCTTAGATATAGAGAAACTTCTTAAAATTCATGCTATTGCATCATATATAAGTTTTAATTTCAAAAAAAATTAGTATTACAAAAAATTAATTAACACGTTTCAAATAATAAATTAAAAATGTTTTAAGAAATTGACATGCTAAAATTTTTATTAATTTTATAGTGCAATCT